CTGACATGCGATCCTCTCACACCTGCAGGTGCAGCACACCAAGGGGATGGGAGGCACAGAGTAGAATGGGCGGGGACGGTACAGAGGGGAAAGTAGGGGATTATACAGAGGGAAAAGGGAGGGGATGGTACAGATGGGACGGGCGGGATGGTGCAGAGGGGAAGAGGCGGGAAGGCTAGGGGTGGGGGATGTCGCACAGTGTTTGCATGCCTGAGCGATCAATGTCACACAAGTGGCGGTGGGTGGAGAAGTGAGAGGGGTCAAAATTTAGCAAAAAAACGACTGTTAGCACACCGTCGCCGCGGATTTCTCCTCGCTTCACAACCCCCACACTTTTATTACAGCCAAACCCCCCATTCCCTCCCCCCTACTCCTCTCCCCTCGCCTCACCTTTCCCCGCCCCCCACCTCAACTCCCTCCGCGCGCCTCTTTCCTCTCCCCCCAGTGCACTTCAAGGAAGGCGACCGCGATCTCGTCGTGAGAGCACCCGCTTTGGTTCTGCACATCCCCCCCCCCTTCCCCTCTCCCAACCCTCTCCCTGACCTCTACACCCCCCCCCCCCCCCTCTCTCCCAACCCTCTCCCTGCCCCCACATCTCCCCCCCCCCCCCCCCCCGTGCGCACCTCTCTCAGCCCCGCTCCCGCACCTCAAGGAAGGCGTCTACAATCTTGTCAGGGGAGCACCCGGTCTCATTCTCCATGCCCATCTGCCTCCGCCGCTCCGCCTCGCGCGGGTTTTATCATCAGCACCGGCCGCATCTGCACGCACCGTTACGCGCGGCAGGCGCGCGGAGATTGGCGCGAGGAGAGAGGGGAGGGGGGAAAAGGCGGGAAGGAGGGGTGGGGGAAGGGGGGGAAGAGTTGGGAAATCGAAAAGAGGGCAAAAGGGAGGTGAGGGAAGCGCGCGAGCGACGAAGACGGACAATGACGACAGAGGAGGGATGACAGCGACGGATAACGACAGGCAAGGACCGACAATGACTCACGTGACCAACAATAACAGACAAATATGGCGAGAGCGCGCGCTCTCCCTGCACCGTCATCATTCCGCGGATGCAGGGAACGAAGAACAGACTCAAAAAGTTGCTTGAGACTGCTGGTCGGCTGGTGCACATGAGGAGTGGGGGGTATGAGAGAAGTGGGGGTTGGGAGTTCGTTGATTTTGTAGTATGTAACGAATTTGAATCACAGCGAAGACAACGACAACCGAGCTAAGCTCACAAAAGCGTTTCGCGGAAACCGTCATTGAGAATCAGAATCGAGCCTCATGACGACATCGAGCTCGACGCGCATGAGCGACCGCTGCGCGGAATGTTGTCCGATAGTGGGGCTTAGCTCACACCGAATGTTCCGTGAAAACTGTGAATTCTAGTGGCATGAAGAGAGATGGACGGGGAAAAAGAATGCAGAATTGGCGACTGACCTCGCGTTTATAAAAGGCAGCGGAACTGATAATAAGGCGAAGATGTTAGGCGGTGGACCATTTCTCTAGATTGAAGCAGTTTTAGTGACGTCAATAGGCGCGGAGGAAAGTAAGAATGTGCTGGACGTGCGCGTACAAAATCAAACTGGACGCACAAAAATAGCGGGGAGTTACAGGATTTGTGAGAGGCAGGTGGTTCGCAAATGCTGCACGAGCTATAACTACGCGATTCTAGGACATAGGATGCTAGGTGGATGTTGGAAGGTAGTGCTCGAGGGCCTGGTTCTGGTGCAAAATGTGCCGTGTCAGGTTCGATTCTGACCGAGTGGTAACTGCCTCGCAAATTTTGCAGCGGTGCCACACAAACCTCTGACGGGATAATTTGTACAAAATGTTTCCCAAATGCCGATTATACACTTGCAACGTCTCCCTCCAAAGGCAACGAACTGAATGTGTACCATATACGAGTGCGACCCTGGAATGGATTTCTCGAACTCTTGCACTTGTGTCATGTACACACTCACTCGGGAAGGAAAGCAAGAATTTGCTTGGCACCTATCTCAACCATTCTGCAGACGTATCTTTACGTTTGGAAACGCAATGCACCTGATTAAGCAGCACTCCTGGACCTTAGTGATCGTCACACTAGTCTCGTCGGTAGCCCCGAGAAGGAACCCACCCAGTTGATCCAGCAGATTGATTTTTAGGGGATCGCGCATTATGGAGCAGCCAGATGCTGGATGGATGAGATAGCTAAATAGCTAATTTAGCTCAACTCTATAGTCTTCAGGTATCGATAATATAATCCGTGCACGCGAAGTTGAGACAGCCAGCCAAGGTCGTTCAGACATACACGAAAATCTCGACGAATTAGGCGTAGTTGGCGAATGCAACGAAATCAACGAAATCATGAACTTCTACGCCGCCTCCCGTAGATCAGCCCGTCGTTCGCTATGGCTAGTCCTACCTCATACGTCGCGGCCATTTGTCGATAGAATCTCCATTTTTATAACTCGCGAGACGCCTCAAACGCACCGAATCGCATCGCGATTTTCTGCTCCTTCCTCGCCAAGCCTCGGTCCGATCGGATCGAATCCAAACGAGCCTACACGAAACGGCTCGTCTTTTCAAATCCGCAACCCAGACCGAAGCTTCGAGGCACCTCAAGAGACCTTATCATTCCACGTCCGAAGCTTCGTGGCATGGTCTGCCGCTGGTGCGTCTTCCAGGCCAGCAGTCGCAGAAGCTTCCGAGGCGGAGACTGCTATTCGTGGGTCGAGATCAGTTTCCAGGATCAGCCCTCGAGTAGCGGTGCAAGCGGAGCTTAAAACGCGTACAGCGAGGACCGAGGAGAGGGGGGATGGGAAAGGAGGTCAGAGGAGCATCAGGAAAGCGGAAGGGGGAGAAAAGGGAGGTGGGGGTCGGAGGATTAAGAGGATAGTAGCGGGGAATGCAGTGGGGAATGCAGGAGGGAAGAGTGAGGGAGGCAAGAGGAAGAGGAAGAACTATGGCACGGGAGGCTGCAAGGAGGAGGAGGAGGCAGTGGAAGTGATTGCTGGAGTGCTGAGGGAGAAATTCGGGCCTCAGATTGTGAGAGAGGAGCTGGAGTGGAGGAGTGGTATAAGAAGCAGCGAGGACGGAGAGGGGGTGGGGAGATTGAAAGAGGAGGACGAAGAAGGGGACGATGAGGAGGTGAAGGAAGAGGAAGAGGAGGAAGAAGAAGCAGAAGCGAGTGAGGAGGACGCACCACCTCCACTCAACAGCCCGCGGGTCGTATCTCCCTCCGCCCTCCTCTCCCTCTACCGCTTCTTCTCCTCCCACCTCGGCATCTCCTCCCCTTCAGCTGTCGCTTCCCTCCTCGCCTCCAACCCGCAACTCTTCCGATCCAGTCCCACCAATGATTTCCTGCCACGTGTCCGCCTTCTCCAGTCGTTTGGCATATCGCATGCGGACATCGTCCACATCACTGTGAGAGAACCAGCCTGGCTCCGAGTCTCCATGCCACAGATTCAAAACACCCTTGAGTTTCTCTCGACTCAAGGCGTCCGCCGAAGCAGATTGGGCTCTGTGCTGCGACGTGGACGGGGCTTACTCTGTTGTGAGGCTCGTTCAACGAACCTGGACATTTTGGTGGAGAAAGCAGGGGTTTCTGTGGACAAGCTGGGTGGGATTATCGAGCAATGTCCGCCCATCTTGACTCGGAGCAAAGAGGCGGTGAATACTGGGATCGAGACGTTTTCGGTTTTTTTTAAGTCGGGATCTGGAAGGGAGGCAGAAGCGGATAGCTCCAACACAAGCTACTTGAAGCAGCGACTAGATGAGCTGCATTTGGACAGGAGCCGCCACCTATGTACGCTTATTTTGAATTTTCCAAATATCCTCTTTACTTCGTCTCACCGCATTGCAGAGAATATCAGCATTCTCCAGTCCTTCACTCCCCCAGGCACCCCCTACATTGCGAGCTCTGTGCTCCTTCGTGCACCCAGCATCCTCGGCCTTAGCTCAGAAACTCTTCTAGCTAAGCTCCAGTTCTTTGTGGAGCTGGTGGGGGAGGAGGCAACGGGAAGAGTGGCGAGGAGTTACCCGCAGGTTCTGAAACTATCGGAGGAGAATCTGTAAAGCAAGGTGGCGGTATTGGCTGATTTGATTGGCCGAGAGAATGTTGTGCGAGCGGTGGCACACTTCCCGTTGCTACTGTCATCTAGTGAGGATAACATGAAGAACAGTTTCAGAGAGCTTGTGCGAGAAGTGGAGGAGGCATTGGAGAGCGGTGGAAGTGAGGGAAGTGGGCAAGGTGATTGTTTGAAAGAGGAGAATGAGTATAGAGCGCAAGGCGTTAAGAGAGACAAGGCTTGCCGGTTAGTTGTGGACTTGGTGGTGAAGTTCCCGCATGCTATCTACTTCAGCTGGGAAGCCAACCTGAAGCATAAGGTGGAGTACTTAAAGCGGGACATGGGGCTGTCCACTGTAGAGGTGCTTGCCTTTCCTAGCTTTCTTTCCTACAGCTTGGATCGGCGAATTAGACCGCGACATGTGGCACTGATGCGAATGGGCTATGCGGTTGTGGCACACGAGATGGTTAGACGGACGAGAGGAGGCAGGAGGGATGTTTCAATTGGAGCTGGAGAAGAGAGGAGCAAGCTGGGTTCTGTGTCTGAAGTGGAGGGAGTGGAGAGGATTGGAAACCAAGAGCAGCAATGCGCTGGGGAGAATTCAGTTAGTGGACCATTACATGGGGTTTTTCTAGGGAATGACAAGCCAGTGGGGAGAGCTGCTTCAGAGAAGCACCTTGTGAATTTGAAGGCGACAAGGAAAACGGTGTGCTTGCAGCAGTTTCTCCTCTGTTGAGACAAGCAGTTTGAGGAGAAGTTTGGGGTCGAACTGTAGGGCTGCTGCTGACAGGCTAGGCTACTTGGCCCAATGTGCCCTGGGTCGTAGAGTCCATGCCCGAGTGTGAGCGTGTGCGTCAATGCCTGAGTCCATGCCTGAGTCTGTGCCTCCACACTAGGAATCTCAATCTGTCAAGCGGCCAGGTGTGAGTGCCACAGCATTATTGCTGGGTCCTTTGTTGCTGCCAGATGGGACCGGAGGCTGCTACAGCTTCCTCTGCTACAGCTTCCTCTGCTACAGCTTCCTCTGCTACAGCTTCCTCTGCTACAGCTTCCTCTGCTACAGCTTCCTCTGCTACAGCTGCCTCTGCTACAGCTGCCTCTGCTACAGCTGCCTCTGCTACAGCTGCCTCTGCTACAGCTTCCTCTGCTACAGCTTCCTCTGCTACAGCTGCCTCTGCTACAGCTTCCTCTGCTACAGCTTCCTCTGCTACAGCTTCCTCTGCTACAGCTTCCTCTGCTACAGCTTCCTCTGCTACAGCTTCCTTTGCTACAGCTTCCTCTGCTACAGCTGCCACGGCCTTACCTCTGTTGGATCTGCTACAGCTGTTCCTGTGGGTGGCAGTGTCACCGGCTGTAGAAGAGGAGCTGCTTTTCAGAGGGCTGCTGCTCACGGCCCTGCAAGAGAGGCTCGGCAGGTGAGAGGCTTGGAAGTTGAGTTTTGGCAAGGCCGCACCTCCAGCTGCCGCTTTTTTTTTTTTCTGGGTGTGGTAGTTTCCACACCCCCCCAAGCACACACACTTTTCCAGCAATTCAATTCCACTTTCGCTCTTGCCTGTCAGAACTGAAGTCATTATAAGTCAGCTTGAATAATGCTAGTCAACTTAAGTCAGCAGGCCAAGTATTGTTGACTAACTTCCCTCCCTGCACTATCCCCTTCCTGCCTCTCTCCCTCAGAATCGACGCTGCCATGCTCTCTGCAGCCCTCTTCGCCCTCGTCCACCTCTCCCTTTCGCTCCTCTTCCCTAACATGGCCTTTGGGATTGCCGCCGGCCTGCTCATCGTCCACTCCAATAACGTGCTGCTAGCTGTCGCACAATCCATCTGCCCTTCTATGCACTCATGGCTATGGCTGCTGCTTCTGGTTAGAGCTAGTCTCCTCGTGGATGTCTTTCTGTTCTGGAGCACATTGCACAAAAAAAAAAAAACATGGTATGCCTTTTTGAGAAGATTCACAGGTTTCGTAAGCAAGAATGTTCAATCAACAATCATGCTAGCTATATTTTTTTTATTCCTCATCTACCAGAAGTTCAAGCTCAGTCGTTCCTGAACATGTTCCAACCAACCTACGGTATGGTACCACATTGCATCAACCACTGGAAATCACACCACATGACAAGTTACTTCTTGTGCCGGCATGTGAGGTGCCTTAGAAGTGACCACTGGGAAGTGATGTACATGGCAAACTACAGCAGCAAGGCTACTACTAACGCAGGGCGTGCAGCAGCTGTCTCCGTGCCCGAGAGGCCAGGTATGAGTGTGAGGGAGCAAGTTCGCCTGTAAGCGCGGCTCCACATTGTCAATCTCAAAGCCTCTCACCACAACCCACTCCTGGCAGTGACTAGTCGGCTATCGCAGGGCCTGTGGCTGCTGTGCGCCGTGCCCAAGAGCGCCATGCGTGAGCGTGAGGGAGCAAGTGAGGCTGCGTGTGTCTCTCCACATTGTCAACCACAACGCCCCGAGCCGCCAGCCGCTCGGTTTCTGATACACACGTTGCACCAAGATACTCAGTCATTCACCTCCTTCCTCATGAGGAAAGTAGCGGCAACAAAAATTCTCTCAACCAGATGCGTGATTCCCGGCCAAGCTTCCATTTCTCGATGCCTTAATGGTGAGGATTATTGCTATGGGATAGGTCGCCACGCACACTGTCCCCTCACTGTTGACAACTCTCATGTGATGCTTCCTTTCCCCATTGCCCCCCGCCCCCCATCCCGTCCCGTTGTCCCTCTCAGCCCCACGCCTCGGCACACCTCGCAGTAGCAAGACTCGCCCAAAGGGGGCGGAAGCGGGACAGGGGCTTAGGTGGAGGTTCTGGAGGGTGGATGGGGAGGAGGCGTGAGGGGAGGAAGGGAGGGCAAAGTAGGGCGGGGCCAACGGGGTGTGGGAAAGGAAGGAAGAGCAGGGCTGCGCGGGCAGCAGGTGTGGAAGGGAGAGGAGGGATGGGGGTGGCAGGTGGAGTGGATGGGAATGGGTTGCTGGATGCACAGGAAGGGCATGAGGCACAAGGTGCACAAGGGGCACAATGGGAACAAGGGGGGCAAGGGGGACATATGGGACTAGGGGGACACTGGGCTACTGAGAGCATGGAGGAGCTGCTAGAGCAGCTGAGGCGGGAGCGCGCTCAAGAGGCCCAGAGGTGATCCGGTTCATGGCGGCCCAAAAGGGAGCAGTACAGCACCTCACACTTTCAAGCCTCAACCCCGTTTTCAGTGACAATCCCAACCACAGCCTTTTCTATTTCCTCTCCCTCGCTCCCCACCGCTGCCCTGGCATCTATGCCTCGCTCTCCTCCCTCACCCTCCACCGCCTCTCGCCCATCCCCGCTCACTTCCTCTCCTACCTTCGCGAGCTACCCTCCCTCACCTCGCTCTCCTTTCTGGAGACTTCCATTACTCCAGGCGAAGTTGTTGTTTCCGTTCTTCTCTCAGCTCCATCGACTCGTCTTGGACTGCCCAGATCCTCCTAATCTGAATCTCCACACTCACTCTGCCTCGGCCAATGCCCAGCAGCCGTTGGAGAGGCTAAGGGAGCTGCACATCCGCCAGGTGAGCGATGCCCTGCTGCGAGAAGTGGCCATTTTGGGGCGCCTGAAGGCCTTCTCCTGCACGTGCAGTGAGGGGGTGACTCCACGTGGATGGGAGCAGCTGAAGAGCCTCACAAAGCTGACGAGGCTGCAGGTGGCACCAGCAAACCTGGAAGACCATCTCCTGGAGCTGCAGTTTCGCAACGATTCCCTGCCTGATGTATCCAGAGTTTGCCAACGGCCCACTCCATACATTAATCGCACCTGTGACTGTGGCGATCGGCTGTACAATCCCAAACACCCCTGCGTGGATGGCAGCGTTTGGCAGGTGGCGGGTGCGCTGCAAGGCTTGCAGCAGCTGGGGGTGCATGGAGTGGCACGCAGCGAGGAGGACCTGCTAGCCCTCACTGCACTCACAAGCCTCACCACTCTCCACATCACCGGCACCCACCTGCACGACGATGCATACTTCAGGGACTTTTCTGAGTTGAGGGAGCTGGGGTTGGCTGGATGCAGTGTAGATGTGGACTCAGGCATGGCTGTGTGGAGCTACACCATGCCACAGCTGCAGTCCCTGGATCTATCAGCCACACGCGTCAGCTAAAAGGGCGTTTCTCAGCTATATTTGCTCGAGTGTTTGCAGCACGTGAAGGTGCAGCAGTGCTGCAACCTGCGTGCGGCATTTGTGAGGCATTTGAGTCTAGTGCCCGAGCTCAAGGAGCTGGACTTGGGCTTTAACTACGTTCAGCCGGGATGGTTGAGGCCCATTCTGGATGAGAAGCAGGTGGAGCGGCTGTGTGTGCGTGGATGCGAGTGGAGCGCTAAACAGGTAAAAGGGGCTCGACGGCCGTGGCTTGAAGTGGAGAGATGATGGTGCTGGGATGCACGGCACTTGTTGGGATGCACGGCACTTGTTGGGATGCACGGCACTTGTTGGGATGCACGGCACTTGTTGGGATGCACGGCACTTGTTGGGATGCACGGCACTTGTTGGGATGCACGGCACTTGTTGGGATGCACGGCACTTGTTGGGATGCACGGCACTTGTTGGGATGCACGGCACTTGTTGGGATGCACGGCACTTGTTGGGATGCACGGCACTTGTTGGGATGCACGGCACTTGTTGGGATGCACGGCACGTGTTGGGATGCACGGCACTTGTTGGGATGCACGGCACTTGTTGGGATGCACGGCACGTGTTGGGATGCACGGCACTTGTTGGGATGCACGGCACTTGTTGGGATGCACGGCACTTGTTGGGATGCACGGCACTTGTTGGGATGCACGGCACTTGTTGGGATGCACGGCACGTGTTGGGATGCACGGCACGTGTTGGGATGCACGGCACGTGTTGGGATGCACGGCACGTGTTGGGATGCGTGTTATGTGTTGGGATGCATGGTATGTGTTGGGATGCGTGGTGGGATGCGTGGTATGTGTTGGGATGCATGGTATGTGTTGGGATGCGTGGTATGTGTTGGGATGCGTGGTATGTGTTGGGATGCGTGGTATGTGTTGGGATGCGTGGTATGTGTTGGGATGCGTGGTATGTGTTGGGATGCGTGGTATGTGTTGGGATGCATGGCATGTGTTGGGATGCGTGGTATGTGTTGGGATGCATGGTATGTGTTGGGATGCATGGTATGTGTTGGGATGCATGGCATGTGTTGGGATGCATGGCATGTGTTGGGATGCATGGTATGTGTTGGGATGTGTGGCATGTGTTGGGATGCGTGGCATGTACGTTAAAGAGATGCATGCTGATTTGAAGATATGGTGGGGTGAGATGCCAACATTGGAGCGCCTGGCATGGTGTGTTCAGTAAATATGCATGCAGTGGCATTTGCTGCACAGATTATGTTGCCTCTGGTGCATGACATCTGGTCCATGGCATGTGGTGTGGTGCATGAGATGTTCTGCATGCCATCTAGTGCATTACATCAGCTGCACAATACGTGGTGCACGGCATGTGGTGCACGGCATGTGGTGCACCGCATGTGGTGCATGACATGTTGATGAATCTGAGTGCCTTCTACTTGCTCCCAATCAAATTCCATCCATAAACTTACTATGGTACGTCCAACTAGGCCCTCTTCTCATCTGCCCCCCTGTTCCTTGAGCTCCCACCAGCACCTTTAGCTTCAAGTGACAATTCATCATTGTATTTATGTAGGTATCTTGCTCCTAAACATCCATTTATCAACTAACGAAACGCGTCATAGGGTGTACACTGTATGCATGAATTTGGAGAGCTGGGGGATGGGGGGTCTTTTATCTGTGCCATGCAGAACCGCACCTTGTGCATGACTCTTAAACAGATTACATTTGTTCAACAGACAACTCACTTGACAATACCCGTATACACAGCAAGCATCTCTTCGTGAATTACAACCACACACTTTGACAACTTCACAGGAATCCACACCACACAATCATTGTGATTGCATAAGCCCAAAGGGAGCAGGACAAAAGCTGGCCTGCCAACGCATGGCAGAGCCCTCAGTGGGAGAGAAAGCAGCTCTAAAGGCCATGTTAGAAAGCAGGAGCAGAAAAAAAAAAAAAAAAAAAAAAAAAAAAGGCGAGGAAATCGTCTTAGGGTTGCGAAGCAACAGGCGTTAATGCAGACTTTTATATTTATATATATCGATTAGGATATTTTATACTATATTTATATATTTTCGTGAATCTCAAGCTCATTAGTTTGGTAATTCATTTGAGTATCAGCAGCAAAATAATGTTGATGGTGTGTTTACATTGTTGGCCAGCGATATGTACATTAATAAGCTTGAATTTTTTCATAAATAATCATAGTTGTATTTTCTATGCCTTCTCAATTGTTGTTAATGCAACACTCCATTGTCAGCTCTTTTTTTAGCGCGATAAGTATGGCTGACGTCAGCGGCGTTGGTTGAAATTTCGCGAGAAATTCCTTGCCTTGCTGCTAACGTCAGCTGCATTTATTGACGCGAAAAAATCGGCTAACGTCAGCGGCGTCGCAGGAAATTTTCCGCGAATTTCCTCGCGTGGCTGCTGACGTCAACCGCAAATCTCGCGCGTGGAATTCGGCTGACGTCACCGCATTTCTCGCGCGGGCGATGCAGCTGACGTTAGCCACGTAACTTGCTCGAAATATGTGGCGAGAAAAAATTATCGCGGGAGAAATTTGGAGTGTGGCCGCTGGGGTTACGGATGCCCACTAGGCCACAGCTGAATTTTGTTGCTTTCTGTTTTGCTCGCTTCTACTACCGTTTTTTTTTTTTCCTCACAGCTGTCACCAGGGCCTCAGAAGTCAGCGAAAAAAGGCTGATTTGGGTAAAAAAGGCTGAGATTTCAGACCTTTTTTAGAACTGTGGCTGACTATTCAGCATTTTTCTGTGAAAAAACAGGAAAAATTATGTGATTTGTAGTGTAAACTGGCATATAATGGCAGATTTTTCTGATTTTTAGCATAATTGTTTGTACCAACTCTGATTGGTTCAGCCTAGCTCAAAACCAATCTGAGGCCCTGGCTGTCACCACCACCACTCAAAGTTGTCTTATTCAGATGTAACTGCAAAATGTGGTTCTCACAACTGTCACCACCGCTCAGGGGTGTCTTATTCATCAGGTGTACAACTGTCAAACTGACTATGAACCTAAAATGCTGCCAGTTTTTTGTTTTGTCTATGGCAATTTGAACATTCTTTCCAACTCACACCAGCAAGTCTCTTGCCCACAATAGGCATGTTTTTTGGTCCTTTCTTCTTGTTTCATAGGCAAAAAGAGTTTCTTTTGGCCAACAAACTGTTAACAGCTATAGCCTATGCGGAAGCGTTTAGAACTTTCACTACAAGCTGAAACTTAGCAACACATAACTTCCCTTAAGACCCTCCGAGTGTGACAGCTCCTCCCAGCCAAGGGCCTAGAAAAACATATAAGGGAGTAGTTATGCTTAGCTTGCTTATAGGGTGAGAGATCTGGTCGAGCAGCGTTTCGGCAGCACCATGTGAGCGTGCCTACTCTCGTCAATACGTAGTAGTAGAATTCCAGAGTGAAAGCATAACATGATTGATTAACTCAAGCAGGTACAAGCATGCATTTTATATAAACTCCTAAACACACAGAAGGAAAGCACACAAAACGGTTGTTTAACTGGAGTCCAGGACTTCGCTAGATATGCCAAAGAAAACGGTTGTCAAACTGCTGCGGCATTTGGCTTGATTTGCCTGTTGAAGAAAACTGTCTTCAAATCTCGTGTCTGCCAAATGCCCTGCTGACCCCACACATGAGTACTCATGAATTCTCGTTGGCCATATGAAAACTCGTGTGAATTTACCGTTTTCACGAAGTCTCACAGTTGAAAAACGGTTTTCACCGTTTTCTCCCTGTATCGAAAATGTCGCGTTACGCGCACGACGTTTCCGGCGAAGCTGCCTGTACGCCGAGTCAACGCGGGATTCGGTTTTTCAACCGTAATCCCGAAATCGTCCTTTACCGCAATCATGCACAACCGATTTCTCGGTCGTGCGGTACTGTGTCCTGACGTGGGCAGTGCTGCGCGTGGGCAGGGCGATCATTCGCCCTGTCCTGTTGCGATCGTGCCCACAGTGCACGCTCGCAACAGTGCGAGGCACACGCGCGGGCCTGCGGGCCCACACGCACGATCAGGACCCCACGGGCGGGTCCTGATATTTCCGCGCAGTTGACCTAGACTGACGCGATGAATTTTCACGAGTCAAAATTGACTCCTCGTGAACACTCGCGACTCTTCATGAACCTCGCTTCGTGGGGACTCGTGAAACACTCGTGAATCTTCATAATGCTCCCTCGCCATGAACACTAAATGAATACTCATGGAAATTTGCGATGCCTCGTCGTGAGCTCTCGTGAATGAATATGAACTCGCCATGAATGCGAATGACGTGAAGTGTGAAAATGAATGTGCACGAACCGTTCGTGTGATGCGAAATGATATGCAGGCGGCTGGTTGATGTGCAAAATTAATATTTGCACCCAACAAACTCCCCCTCAAGCAGTCGCCTGCTTGCCTCCAACTCCCCCTTCATGCGTGAGCCTAGTTAAGGCTCATGCCACACAGCTTGGCACAACGCCAGTGGGGTTCTTCAGCTAGCCGCTTCGTGAAAAAATCTGCTGGCTGCTGCTGAGTCTTCACGTAGATGGGCTCAATGGTTCCCCTCTGCACTTCCTTGCGCAGCCAATGCCATTTGATCTGCATGTGCTTGGTGAGCCCGTGCAGCACAGCGTTCTTGGACATCGCAATGGCACTGGAGTTGTCACAAAACAGTGGAGCACCCGTTTTCTGCTCATGCCCTATCTCCTCCAACAGCTTCCTCAGCCAAATCAGCTCCTTGGCTGCATGATACATTGCCATGTACTCAGCTTCAGCTGATGAACCCGCCGTTTCTACCTGTTTCTTTGACCTCCAGCTCACGGGCCCACCACCAATCACACACACATACCCTCCAATTGAGGACATGTCTTCCTTTTCCGAGGCCCATGATGCATCTGAGAAACCTGTGAGGAATAGCTCCCTTTCTCCAAGATACTCCTCCTTCTCCTTGAGAACCTCGACTCCCTTCTGCTTCCTTTGAGCCGCAGCTGAGT